AGGCTGCGGTGGCCGGGAGCAGCCACTGCACTCCAGTCTGGGCGACAGAGTGAGACTCCAATTAAAAAAAAAAAAAATTAGCCGGCTGTGGTGGCATGTGCCTGTGGTTCCAGCTTCTTGAATGGCTGAGATGGAAGGATTGTCTGAGCCCAGCAGGTTGAAGCTGTGTTGGATGTGAGTGTGCCACTGCACTCCTGCCTGTGCTACAGAGTGAGACTTCAACTAAAAAAAAAACAAAAACAAGAAAAGAATCCCTATTCTGCACAATTCTCCTCTTCCATCTTCCCATCCGTCCTGTTGCCCAAGCATGAAACCTGGACACTTCCCTCTGCCTCATCCCCACCTCCAGTCTATTACCAAGTCCTACTCAGTTTTGGAATTCACCTGTTTTCTTCATTTCAGTTCCCACTACCCTGTGGCCTCACCGAGTCACCAGCACATCTCACCTGTGGACAGGAACAACCTCCTAACTGGTCTTTTTGATCCTCTCTTACCCCTCCATTTCATTCTCCACTCGGCATCTAGATTGATTTTTCTTTCTTTAAATACAGATCATTGAGCTGTTGTATAGACTTGAAAAAAACAAAGAGCAACAACCAAAAAAAAAATCCACAAATCTGATCCTATTACCCGCCCCCCTTAAGATATTTCAAGGGCTCCCCAAGGCAGAATCCAGATGCCTACCACTGGGCACCATGACTCACACCTGTAATCCCAGCATTTTGAGAGGTGGAGGTGCAAGGATTGCCTGAGCCCGTGGGTTCGAGACCAGACTGGGCAACATGGCGAGACCTCGTCTCTACAGTAAGTACTGGGATGGGAGTCCCCAGTGACACAAAAGAGGCCTGCTGGCAAGGAGAGGGGTGGGGACACACAGCCAGGAGTGAACGCTAGATGGCGATGCCATGCCCTGGCAGTAGAGCCCAGAAGTAGTGACCTGTGTATGTTGAGGGTGGAGGCGGAAGGCAGAGCACAGGGCCTGATCCAGACTCCTCAAGTAGCTGGGCGTGGTGGTGCGTGCTTGTAGTTCCAGCTACTAGGAAAGTAGAAGGGGAAGGATCACCTGAACCCAGCAGGTAGAGGCTGCGGTGGCCGTGAGCATGCCACTGCACTCCAGCCTGGGCGACAGAGTGAGATCCTGATTCAGAAAAAAAAAAAAGACCTGGCTACTGCCTGCCTCCTACCCTCTCTCTGCCCTCCGCATCCTTCCCTTCCCCGTGTCCTATTTGGGTCAGGCTTTTCTCGAATTCCTCTGCACTTTACAATGTTTTTGTTCCACTTCCTTGGCCTAAAGGTCTGGTTCCCCCGCTATTCCAGCCTCAGGTTGAGTCCTCATCTAAGGTTCCGAAGGCTTCCTAAGTTCCCCCAAAATGTAAAACCCGAAGGTTGCATCATCCCCTTACGCAGAGAACAGCGTAAGGTAACCCAGCTGGTCAGTGGTGGCCTCTAGATAACATACAAATAGGGCTATTTAAAACTGGAACCCCAGGCACTGTCTACAGCAGTTCAAGGCATCCCTCAGCCTTTGCTTCAGATGCTTTGTCATCCCAATGTCTACATGTCACCTCGGACCAACAGCCCAAGGTCTAAGAGTTAGTCTCAATTTTTATTGGTGACTCTGACTCAGAGATCAGACCTTCCGTAAATGACACAATTCCACAATTGCTTCTTGCAGCCCCTGGATCACCACAAAAGGAAACTTGGGACTAGAGAAAGACCTAGCCTATAAGTCCAAAGACAGGGTTTCAACTTCACTCTTGCACCAATTCACTGCATAATGCTGGAAAAGCCATCTCCTCTTCTCAGGGCAGATACCCCATGCTTAACACAGGAGGCTGGGCCAGCTTAGTCTGAACTCTATGATTCCACTTCCCGATGCCTACAACTAAAATGTATACTAGAGAAACTGTTATTTGCCTATTTTCTAGGTACAGTAAATTGGGCTCTTGGCCTGGGTACTAAATGAGGCAAAGGAGGAAACTTTTCTGGCTACACAGAGGTATGCACAGATGGATGCCAATGAGACCAAATACAAACTCGTGTACACACAGGTTGCTAAGAGAACTCAAATACACAGAGGTACCTATATATGCTCACATGCACTTATGCACACACACTCAGGAGAAAAACCCTGATGGCCAAACAGATGCTAAGAAAACAGGCCAGGCATGATGGTTCACACCTGTCATCCCAGTACTTTGGGAGGCTATGGTGGGAGGAGCACTTGAGGCCAGGAGTTCAAGATCAGCCTGGGCAACATAGCAAGAAATCCCATCAGCAGGGTGTGGTAGCTCACACCTGTAATCCCAGCACTTTGGGAGGCAGAGGTAAAAGGATTGGCTGAGCCCACGGATTCAAGATCAGCCTAAGCAACATGGCAAGACCTCGTCTCTACAATAAATCAAAAAATCAGCTGGGCTCGGTGGCTCAGCCTGTAATCCCGCGCCTTTGGGAGGCTGAGGTGAGTGGACTGCCTGAGCCCGCGGGTTCGAGACCCGCCTGGGCAACTTGGTGAGACCTCATCTCTACAGTAAATCAAAAGGTAGCGCGCGCCTGTAGTTCCAGCTACTTGGAAGGCTGAGGCGGAAGGATCGCCGGAGTCCAGCAGGTCGAGGCTGCGGTGACTGGGAGCGGCCACTGCACTCCAGTCTGGGTGACAGAGTGAGACTCCAACTCAAAAAAAAAAAATTAGCTGGGCATGATGGCACATGCCTAAAGTTCCAGCTACATGGAAGGCTGAAGCAGAAAGATCGCCTGAGCCCAGCAGATGGGGGCTGCGGTGGCTGTGAGCATGCCACTGCCCTCCAGCCTGGGCAACAGAGTAAGACAACAACACAAAAGAAAGAAAGAAAGAAACCCCATCTCTGTTATATATATTTGTAAAATGAAGAAGAAAATATTTAGATATATAGATCTCCATGCATTCACACAGACATATTACTGGACAAATATGCAAATATGCCCATGGAAATGCACACAATATACTTACACATGCACACACTCCATTTATAGACAGATTTTCTTATTCTTCAATTTCTTCAGGTTTCACATTACTTAATCTATTTCAGATCATATACCATATATAGTTATCTATTGCTACAAGTTCAGCCAAAATCACACAGTCTAGAAACAGAACCACATATATATGGTTATTTGATTTGACAAAAATGCCACTGTAATGCAGTACATAAAGGATAATTGGGGAGGGATTAAGGTTGCTGGATCAACTGTATATCCATACAGGAAAAAAAATGAACTTTGGCCCAAATCCACACACAATAATCAATTCCAGATAAATTATAGACCTAAATATGAAAAATAAAACAAAGCCTCTATAAGGTAATAGAAGAATATCTTCATGACCTAGAGACAAATATTTCTTAAACTGACAAAGTGCTAGCTACAAAGGAAAAGATGAATAAGTGAGATTTCATTAAAGTTAAAAACTTCTAACTGGGCTCAGTAGCTCACCACTGCAATCCCGGCACTCTGAGAGGCTGAGGTGGAAGGATTACTTGAGACCAGGAGTTTGAGACCAGCCTGGGCAACATAGTGAGACCTTGATGCTACAAAAGGTTTTTTAAAATTAGCTGGGTATATGGTATGCACCGATAGTCAAGCTAATCAGGAAGTTGAAGTAGAAGGATCACCTGAGCACAGGGGGTTGAGACTGCAGTGAGCCATGATCATGTCACTGCACTCCAGCCCGGGTGACAGAGTGAGACCCCCAACTCAAAATAATAATAATAATAATAATAATAATAATAATAAAAAACAACTTCTATCCAAAAGGTATACTGTTAAGAGAGTAAAAAGACAAGCAACAGTGTGGGAGAAGATGTATGGAATAGATGTAACCAATAAAAGACTCATGTCCAACATGAATACAGAATATAAATCAATAAGAAAAGAAAAAGACAACCTGATTTGGGGGTGGGGAGTGTAATCTCACTCTGTCGCCCAGGTTGAAATGCAGTGGCACGCTCACGACCACTGCAGCCTTGACCTGCTGGGCTCAACTCAGCCTTCCAAGTCACTGAAACTATAGGCACGTGCCACCACACTCATCTAATTTTCTGATTTATTGTAGAGACGAAATCTCACCAGCTTGCCCAAGCTGGTCTCGGATGCCTGGACTCAGGCAATCCTCTCGCCTCTGCCTCCAAAGTGCCGGGATTACAGACGTGAGTCACTGTACCTGGCTCCTAATTTTTTTGTTTGTTTGTTTGTTTTTGAGTTGGAGTCTCACTCTGTCGCCCAGACTGGAGTGCAGTGGCCGCTCCCGGTCGCCGCAGCCTCGACCCGCTGGGCTCCGGCAATCCTTCCGCCTCAGCCTTCCAAGTAGCTGGAATAACAGGCGTGCGCTACCACGCCTGGCTAATTTTTGATTTATTGTAGAGATGAGGTCTCACCAAGTTGCCCGGGCGAGTCTCGAACCCGAGGCTCAGGCAATCCACTCACCTCGGCCTCCCAAAGCGCTGGGATTACAGGCTGAGCTACTGAGCCTGGCCGGCTAATTTTTTTAAATGGACAAAATTTGAGCCATCTAAAGGTTTTCAAATGGCTGGTAAGCATGTGAAAAATTGCCCAACTTCATTATTCTTCAGGGAAATGCAAATCAAAACTCCAATGAGATACCACTGGACACCCACCAGAACAGGCCAAAAACAAAACAAACCAAAACAAAAACCTGACAATCCAAGTGTTTGAGTGTTGGTGAGGACACAAGATAACTGGAACTGCTGGTGGAAGCAGAAATTGGTACAACTACCTTCATTTTTTTATTTGCTTATTTTTTGGAGACATGGTCTGGCTCTGTCACACAGGCTAGAGTGCAGTAGTATGATCATAGCTCACTGCAGCCTCGAATTCTTGGGCTCAAGTGATCCAAAGTGCTAAGATTATAGCCACCATGCCCAGCAGGTACAACTACACTGGAAAGTTGTAGACAGTACTGTTAGAGCTAAGCATAGGTATAATTCTGTATGCCAGGAGTTCCACATCTTTTTTTTTTCTTTGTTGGAGTCTCACTCTGTTGCCCAGGCTGGAGTGCAGTGGTACATTCATGGCCACCAAAGCCTCAACCTGCTGGGTTCAGGCAATCCTTCCACCTCAGTCTTCCAAGTAGCTGGAACCTCAGGCGTGCGCCACCACACCCGGCTAATTTTTTGATTTAATGTAGAGAGGAGGTCTCACTAAGTTGCCCAGGTTGATCTCGAAACCCTGGACTCAGGCAATCCTCTGCTTCCCAAAGTGCTGGGATTACAGGAGTGAGCCACCGCACCTGGCTGAGTTCCACTTTTGCATATATATGTACTCTAAGAGACACCTACAAGACTGTTCAAAGCAACACTATTCATAAAAACCAAAAGCAATATACAACCTAAATGTCCATCAACAGCAGAAAGGATAAATAAATTATAGCATATTCATGTGATAAAATACTGTAAGGAATAAAAATAATAAACCACTCATAAACATAATATTGAGTGAAATAACCCAAACACAAAAGAGTACATACTCTGTGGTTCCAATTATATAAAGTCCAGAAATAGGCAAAAGCAATGCTTGGGGATAAAAGTCAGAATGACAGTTTTATTAGGGGCATGGAATGACAGGGAGGAGGCACAGGGGAGGCTTCTGGGGGTGCAGGTAGTTTTGTGGGTATCTGGGTAGTGATTACATAAGTGTGATCACTGTGGAAAAAATTCATTGAGCTATACATCTTACGTTATGTTGTTCACTGTATTTATATTTAATTTAAAAATTTACCAAAACTCCCACACAGTCTCCTGCTGTGTTTAATAAGACAGTCTCTCCCCAAACCAGAGCCACTCACAGCTAATGTTAGGGTTTAATGAACATCACCTGCTCTATGCCTGTATTGTGAAAAGACTTTGCAAAAGGATGTTGTGGTTTCAGTAACATGGTCTGTCTACAACATGTAGAATAGATAAATCAATTACATGGACCAGAGGCCCCAGAGGACCCATGGTAATTAGGCCACATCACCAGGAGATAAAATGCAGCTCCAGCCCACTGACGTCAGCTACACAACTGTCAAGAAACATCCACACCGTCTGCCTGGAGTTAACCTTGTGCTTCACACTGGCCCAGAGAACTGCTAAAAATGGCCCCATTCAAATATGACCTAGGAGTTAAACTGGCCTTGCTGTATGCTAAGTGGTTGTCACCGAGTTTGGCACATTGGAAAGCAGGTCACCCCCCTTGGAACTAACACCTGCTCATGATCTTCCTGCCAGTAGTCCTGAAGAACTCATCTAGAATGTCCCTCAACCCACCTAGCCTGCAGAGACGAGACATCTAAGAGGGGTCAGCAGAGATGCAGGGCCCTCTCTGGACTCCCCCAGCACCTGGAGACAAGCACTGCCATCACCCCATCCTCAAACTGGCTCAGAACCTCAATTGACTCGTCTGTCTTCTCCCTACGCTACAGCTCCATTGAAGGATCCTTCCTTCTTGTCTTTGTGTTCCCAGAGCATAGCACAGCATCTCGTGTCTATTTCTGAAATGAGAAAGAAAATTCGGAGGAGGCCAACCTCCTCTTCTCCAATGATACTATAGGATAAAGAGAGTCTGCTGGGAATTTCAGGGCATTCAGGGCTTCAAAAGGGATTCCCAGCTGGGCCTGATGGCTCATGCCTGCAATCCCAGCACTTTTGGAGGCCAAGGTGGGAGAATCACTTGAGGTCAGGAGTTCAAGATCAGCCTGCGCTACATAGCAAGACCTCATTTCTACAAAAAGTGAAAATTAGCCAGGCAAGGTGGCATGCACCTATAGTCCCAGCTACTTGGGAGCCTGAGGAAGGAGGATTACCCGAGCCCAGGAGGTCAAGGATGCAGTGAGCTGTGTTCCTGCCACTACACTTTGGCCTGAGTGACAGAGTGAGACCCTGACTCAAAAAAAAAAAAAAAAAAAAAGAGGAATTTCCAGATATCAGTCAGAATGAGGAGGGCCAGGGCTCCCTACTGCCCATGACAGAGAGAAGGGGACTGAAGGAGCTTGACTCACCTAGAGGCTGACACCATGGATGCCTCTTGCTGGTATAAGAGGGGAGGAGTTGGCCTTCCAAGCCCCCTGTTTCATTCCCACAAGACTGGCTGGGAGGAGTAGGGGCTAGTTCGTCACAGGGAGACCTGGCTGCTTTAGGCTTTGGGTCTAATCCAGGGGCAGACACCTCTGCACAGGAGCTCAGAGAGTCCTGCCTTGACAGAGGCAGGCCTGCGTGAGGGCTGAGGGGATGAGACCTACCTGTGTAGTGCACCACACACGTCTGGCCCTTCTTGGGGAATGTCCTTCCTGTAAGGAGACACGAGGGCAGATGAAGGAGTGGGGTACTGAAAAAACTCACCTGGAACATTCATGTGTGGTTTTGACCAGGAACTCGGGCCCACGTTCTCGTCCAGACCATGAAGACACCCATGGCCCTAGTTCTGGCTCTGTGCCTTGTATGAGCCAGAACTCACCACATCATCTCTCTGGCCAGAATTTGAACTTTATTCCCTTGGTTTCTTTTTTTTTCTTTTTGAGTTGGAGTCTCACTCTATCACCCAGGCTGGAGTGCAGTGCACACTCCTGGCCACCACAGCCTCTACCTGCTAGGCTCAGGTGATCCATCCACCTCTGCCTTCCAAGTAGCTGGAACTACAGGCGTGCACAACCATGCCCAGATAATTTTTTCATTTATTGTAGAGACAAAGTCTTGCCATGCTGCCCAGGCTGGTGTCAAACCATGAATTCAGGCAATCCTTTTGCCTCAGCCTCCCAAAGTTCTAGGATTACAGGTTGAGTCACTGTACTTGGCTACTCCCTTGGTTTCAACTCTGCTGTCTCCTGGGGTTGTTGTTGTTTCCTTTATCTTTCATTGATTGCTCTTTTCACTTTATCCACTTCTCATTTACAGACAGCCTACTATGTGTCAGGCCTGGACTAGATTCCACAGATACACAGCAACATATGAACTCATGAAGAAGTTAGGGAAATAGACACATAAAGTATCACAAATGAATAAATGTGATCACTCACAAATATTTGCTGAGTACCTACTGTGTGCCAGGCCTGTGCCTGAGCCCAAGGATATAGCTGTAAACACTACAGACTAGATCCCTGCTTTTTTAAAGTTTAAATTCTAATAGAGAAAGACAGTATTCAAATAAACAAGATGATTATAGAATGTAAATACTCTAAAGAGAACAGACACAATGATGAATTAAAGAGAGATGCAATGGGACAGACCATTTTAAAAAGAGTGGTCTAGAGACTGGGCAAGATGGCTGACACCTGTAATCCCAGTACTTTGGGAGGTTGAAGTGGGAGGACTGCTTGAGCCCAGGAGTTTGAGACCAGCCTAGGAAACATAGCAAGACCTTATTTCTGCAAAAACATCAAGAAAACTAGCCAGGTGTGGTGGCACGTGCCTGTAGTTCTAGCTCCTTGGGAAGCTAAGGAAGAAGGATCCTAAGTCCAGGAGGTTGAGGTTGTGGCAAGCTGTGATCATGCCACTGCACTCCAGCCTGGATGACAGAGTGAGACTCCTACTTAAAAAAAAAAAGAGTGGCCTAGGAGTCTAGGATAACCTCTTGAAGGAAGGAGGTGCCATTTGAGCTGAGACTTGAAGGATGAGCAAAATGCTGAGAAAAAAACACCCCAAAAAGGAGTAAGAAATGCTCAGAATGGAGACATCTGCAGAACAGAAAGGAGGCTAGGTACTGGAAAGAAGGGAGGGAGGAGAGAAGGGGGAAAGGGGCAATCAGGCAGGGCTTGCAGAGCCGGATTTAATACTAAGTGCAATAGGAAACCACCAGAGGGTTTGAAGCAAGGGAATGACATAATCTGAATTAAGATTTTATAAGAGCACTCCGGCTGCTGTGTGTGGGATGGACGGTTAGGCGTCTGTGGCAATAATCTAGACAAGAAATCAATCAATGATGGCTTGATTTAAGGTGGTGGCAGCAGGGAAGGGAGCAGAATGGATTAGAGGCACATTCTGGAAGCAGAGCTGACAAGGCATGCAAACGGATTGGAAATGGGGTCCCAGATGAGGGAATGGAGAAAACAAGAACAATGCTTGGGCTTTCTGTGGCAACTGGGCAAAGAAGAACTACTCCCTGAGATGGGGAGGACTGGGGAGAAACAGATTTGTGCAGGTGGCAATCTTGAGATGCCTATTAGATATCTGTGTTTACACTGCAAGTAGGCAGATGAAGAGTCTGCCCTGCCGGGAATGGTGGCTCAAGTCTGTAATCCCAGCACTTTGGGAGGCTGAGATAAGGGGATTGGCTGAGACCATGGGTTCAAGAACAGCCTTGGGCAACTTGGCGAGACCTCATCTCTGCAATAAATCAAGAAATTAGCCGGGTGTGGTAGCGCATGCCTGGAATTCAGGCTACTTCGAAGGCTAAAGCAGAAGGATCGCCTGAGCCCAAAAGGTCGACAGTGGGGTGGTGGTGAGCATGCCACTGCACTCTAACCTGGGTGGTGGAGTGCAAGACTCCAGAGGAAGACTCCAACTAAAAAAAAAAAAGAGTCTGCCCTGGAGAGATAAATTTGCCTGAGGCCAGGCGTGGTGGTTCATGCCTGTAATCCCAGAACTTTGGGAGGCCGAGACAGGAGGACTCCTTGAGTACAGGAGTTTTAGACCCATCTGGACCAGATAGCAAGACCTCTTCTCTACAAAAAAATACATTAAGAAAAAAAATTTTTTTAACAATTTGGGTAAAATTTAAAGCTCTAGGGCTGGATAACAAAGCCCAAGGCTAACCACAGAGCCCACATGTAGAGGACGCTATGGGAACTGGGAAGAGGGAGTCCAGCAATAACAGGAGCCCTGTCCATTTCACCGCTGTAACCCTAGGGCCTAGCACACAGTACATGTTCAATAAATATTTGCTGAAGGAGAGTGTGTTTAACAACTTGCAGGCAGCTTGGTAAAGCTGGAGAGAAAGCTGGTGGTGGGTTTAGGAACAGGTAGTAAGAGATGAAGCGCTAACCTGGAAGGTTCCAACAGACCACATCACCACTAAGGGGCTATCTGTCTAGGAGAGAGGGAAAAATTCTTAAGAAGATTTTCTGTCAGAAAGAGGGGCATGATCAAACATGAGTTTTCAGTTGTGACATAGAAAGTGAGTGAATGTGGGAGGCAAAGGTGAGAGGACAGCCTGAGCCCACATGTTTGAGAACAGCCTGGGCAACTTAGTGAGGCCTCATCTCTACAATAAATCAAAAAATTAGCTGAGCGTGGTGGCACACGCCTGTAGCTCCTGAGTGAGGTAGAAGGATCACCTGAGCCCAGCAGGTCGAGGCTGCGGTGGCTGTGAGTGTGCCACTGCACTCCAGCCTGGGTGACAGAGTGAGACATGACTCAAAAAAAAAAAAGTGAGTGGATGTGAGATGGGGCCCCAGACTGAAGGCAGGGATGAGACAGTGGAGGTGAGAAGGTCAGCTCAGGTGCTGTCAGGGATGACAAGGTCTCAGGGAGATGCTTCCTGGAGCCCAGCATCTGCATGGGCCAAGAAGCCTGCACCCCATGGGTGACCCGAGGTAGTGGGTGGAACCTCTAGTGACCACAAACTTTCAACAAGGAAGGTGCCCTGGAACCAAGAAGCCATCCAACTGCCTGGGGAGCAGGATTGTCAATAATATCTGATGTGAATGTTGCTTAGCAAAATCTGCATACATGGGGGTTTGGGACTGAATTAAAATTTAAGAAATAGCAGGAGGTGGTGGCCTGCACTAGTAGGCCCAGCAACTTTGGAGGCTGAGGAGGGAGAATCGCCTGATCGCCTGAGCCCAGAAGTTTGAGGTTGCTGTGAGCTGTGATTATGCCACTGGGAGACAGAGGGAGACCCTGACACAATCTATCAATTCTATTTAATGTTTTTAAAGAGAGATAAAGAAATGGCTATTCCTTGCATACCCAGACCGAATCATACAGGAGCTTGGGAAAGGGAGTGGCCCTGAGACAGGGATGGGTCGGGGGGTGGGGGGGTGGAGGAAAGGCACCATGAATTACTGTACAAAGCATTATATGGATTATTCAAGTGTGTCTCCCCCACCAGCTCCATGAGGCAGGCCCTGCGGTTAATTGTTCATCTCTAA